CAGGGAAGGGTGTAGACATTTATTAGCTTCTGAAGTGAGGAGGCCCGGGCCGAGACAGGGCTGCTTACAGGGCACTGGGGCAACTCCACCTAAAGGCACTAGGCCCCTTACCAGTGTAGTGACAGCCAATGCAGTAAGAGGCTGGCCCACAGGGAGGGGGTGCCGGGCCACAAAGAAGCTATGATGAGAGCTAAGATTTTTGAGGGAGATCAGCCCTCCATAAGAGAGATTTGTTCCTCCCCACAGGCCCAAGCCCCAAGTAGCACTGCTCTCGGAGACTGCCCTCCGTTATACACACTGCCACTTCGGGATGCAAGCCATCCTCAAAAGCACAGAGTCCAGACCGATCCCGAGACCTTCCGAGCCGCTATCGCCTGCCCCCCTCTCCCTTCTGGGAATGTCACGCCAGCCTGTAGCTTCTAGCTTCATCCCAGCTTTTTCTCAGTAACTGCACCTCCTGCCCAATTTCATCCAGTCCCGGCTCCAAAGAGACCTGCTGGTGACTCTCAGGTCTGAGTCTCCTAACCCAAGCTCTGTCCGGGGGCTTGTGCCAGTCTGGGCCCGTCGAGGGCTGACTTGAGAGGTCACTGCCTCAGGGAAACTTTCCCGAGTCCCCGGGCTCCACTAGCATGCCCAGCCCTACCCATCACTTTCTGTTCGACCCCCCTGTTTTATTGTCATCGAAGCTCCTGCCTCTGACATTGAAACAGGGACAGTTTTATTGACCAAATGGGCCCCGTGCTGTCACTGGCCTGACGACAGAAACCGTGTCGTCGTTCTCTGGGCTGTGTGACCACCTCTCTCACCACGTTATGGTTTAGGGTCTTTTCCCAGAGGGTTGAAACCACTGGACATCCGGTCTCTAGATCAATGGGTTACCAGAATGTTTCACTGGCGTGCTCTTCATGTCTCTTAGGTTGGATCACTGGTAGTTCAGAGCCTCCCCAGGGCCAGCTGCCCGGGGGTTAGCCTACAGCCCGGGGCTGCCCAGGTGTGCGCCGCCGGTCAGGGAACCGGGGTGGGGGTCGCTGTGCCCCTCCCGGGAGTGAAGGGATGGTAACGCGGCCCCTGGACAGTGGGTCTCGTCTTCATGCTGGGCATCATGCCTGCCTGGGGTATGCTGAGTAATTTTGGAGACCTGGCAAGAGAGGTACCAGGTGGGTATGTAACCAGATGGGAGCCACTACTCGTAACGAGGGGTGCCTTTTCCTTGTCACAGAAGCACAATGAGGACTTCGAGATGACCTCGTTCTGGTTGTCTAATACCTGCCGCCTCCTGCATTGTTTGAAGCAGTATAGCGGGGATGAGGTGAGTGCTAGCATAAGCCCAACCCGCAAAGGGCTCTTAAAAACCACGGAAGTGCTGCAAGTCCTCCGTCAGATCCTCACTTCCTGGGACACAGCAGTGTGTGTTCTGCTTCAGGGCAGATCTCAGCTCAGAGGGGGGGGGTGTCCTGGAAGGCAGCCCTGCTCTGTCCAAATGTGCTTCCTTCTACCCTGAGGAGAGGATGCAAGGTCTGTGGAGCGCCCTCTGGGACCTCGGGCTCTGGGCACGACTTCTTCTACCTGGTAGCTAGAAGCAGGGACAAACAGGCCACAGTACAACCCCAGGAGCCCCAGAAAGCACCCAGAATCATGTAAGTAGAATTGGTGGGGAAATGAGTTTACATGAGCCATCCTTCATCCAAGAGCCCCCGGGACTCTCCAGGGAGAGCCTTGTGACCTTAAATTTCAGAAGCAGTCGTGGAAGAACGCCATTTCCGTGAACGCCTGAAGAAGGCTTGGTCAGTTGTCTCGCGCATAAGACTGTCTCCTAAGCCAGCCAAGTCGTTTGTCTGTTTTAAGGCAGACACCAAGAAGAGGCACAAGGTGATCAAACGACATTTGTATACCTTGACCTTTAAGGCCCAGCTTCATACTTCTAACCAAATTTGATTCCTCGACCTGCAGTGCAACTGACTGCATTATTTCCTATTCCCCTCTGGACCTCGAGGGCCCAGCTTCGTCTGGAACCCACCATTCCCAGCACTGGTCCCTGAAAGAACTGTGCCCATGCTCTGCATTCAGCCCGGTGGCTCGGTGACACAGGGCATGTCCTCGCTCCAGTAAGAATCCCACCTCACCCCAGACACCACTCCCAGGCCCCTGGGAGTTGCCTCGACTTTTCCTCTCTCCACTTCCTTTTTCACTTTTATTGAGAATAACACATTGGGGGGCCTAAGACCCGAAGCACAGTCCAGCCAGATCTGTGTAGTCTGAATAAAGAGGGAGAAAAATATGTATCTTAGCTGTCACAATGATTCCCTCTTTCACCTGCTTTTTAGTTTTTATGAAAAAATGCTTTGTAATATGACCTGGTTTGAGAGGCTTTGCTGGGGATGGTCGCCCTTTTGAAGACATTGATTTTTTTTTTTTTTTTTTTTTTTTTTTTTGGCTGCTCTTGGTTTACCTTGGCCTCTGAACACCAAGGGATGTTGGTCACATGAATCCTTTCGATATTAGCAATTCTCTTAACAAAGTTATTTCCTCTTGTTAGTATAGAAAGCAAAGAGGACAGGGCACTGTAGCAGTGAAATCATTTCCGTTTGTCTATTAATTCTGATACCCAACAATAGAATCTATGTAAAACTTCTCATTATAAAAGCATAATCTGACCCAGGGCCCTACCTGCTCCCTTAGTGGCTGTGCATTTCACATTGTAAAGTAACCTGGCCTGTTAGGGTAATGGGACAGAGAATCAGGATGGATCTCTCTTTCCCTGGACCGGCTACCAACCTCGGTTTGCTGCTCTAGGAAAATCACCGGCCCACGATGTGGACCAAATGATTTAGGCTTTTTAAATCAAGCAGCTCCTCCGACTTCTCTGTCATGCTGAGCTTTTGCTCTGCTTTCAAGTTCAAGGGCCATCACTGAGGCCTCAAGGAACTGACAGGCTCTTGTGGAACATCATATTAACAGAGCCTGGTGGAGCCCCACAGATAGGGTGTCATGAACGTGACGGAGGCCCGGAAGTCCTGCTGAGCCCGGCAGACCACTGAGCCTCCGTAAAGCACCCTCTCTCTCTGCAGGGCTTCATGACTCAGAATACTGCCAAGCAGAACGAGCACTGTCTTAAGAACTTTGACCTCACTGAATACCGTCAGGTGCTGAGTGACCTTTCCATCCAGATCTACCAGCAACTCATTAAAATCGCCGAGGGTGTGTTGCAGCCTATGATAGGTAAGCTGGCGCAGGAGATCTCCAGTGCTTGTTGTAGGGCCAGAAACGATGGTGAGCACTGCCTGCTTTCAGGGAAGCCAGTATGTTAGGTGTGGCCTCCAGGAAACCAGAACCTTCCCACTGAAGGCAGCAAGGAGGTGTGAGCTGTGTGCTCAGGAAGAGCTATGAAATCTTCCATAGGTAATAAATACACATTCAAAACAGGTATAAATGCATATACAGTGAACCAATATAACCCTCATGCCCATATGTATACTTTATTCTTGGAAAAATAAAAGCCTTAAGCAGCGCACATGAAGGAACACAGTAGCAAGTTCTCATGCAATAAGTATTGAGCACTCTGTCCAAAGCAGTATACGTGGGCACTTAGCATGAAATCAGAATTGAAACATAAGAGCTGTTGTTTTTTAAGTTAAAAATGACACATACATACATTACTCGGGATGCTCCATGAAGACCGGGGAGGAAATTATTCCCTGCACCTATGTTGTAAAGCTTCCCCCTGGGGTTCTCACAACACAAATAAGTTACAGGTGAATTCCAAGTTGGACAGAGTCCTCCATGCCGTGCAGAAATTTATCATCTAGGATAGGTTCATTCCATATTCTTATTCCTGAGAAGTTTCTTATGAGGCAGGCATAAGGAGCACTGGGGATACTTCATGACTCCAAATAATGTGATGGCAAATAGCATCAGTTCTGGAGCTGGACACACCTGGGTTCAAATCCTGGCCCTGCCGACTCCTGAGGCGTGACCTTGGGCAAGTAATTTAACTTCCATATGCCTTAGTTTCCTCACCAGGAAATGGGTTGTTGGGAAATGGAAAGAAAAACTGAGCATAAAGCCCCTGGCACATAGTTAAACACTGTATAATAAGTATAATAAGACCAGCGAACCTAAAATTTATATGGTCAGTGTCTCATGGAAAAGAGCTGTTTGAACATCAGTAGGATGATGTCAGGGTCCAGGACCAAGTCAGTGGGTGGGCCGGGACTATACCCAAGTTGCTCAATTCTCAAACTTTGGACCTAGCACAGAAACCGGTACAGAATTGAGTTGGTACACGCCCATTATCTTTGTCCCATCACTAATGAATCTAAGTACAGATTTGGCCCAAGGTTTGTTTTTTTTTTTAAAGATTTTATTTATTCATAAGAGACAGAGAGACAGAGGGAGAAGCAGGCTCCCCGCTGAGCAGGGAGCCCGATGGCGGGACTCGATCCCAGGACGCTGGGATCATGACCTGAGCCGAAGGCAGACGCTTAACGCTGAGCCACCCAGGTGCCCAGGTCCAAGATTTCTATATGGAAACCTTATTCCAGATGGACCCCAACACAGTAGAAATCCGATGCTCAATGCTGTGAGTTTCTGAGCACGTCAACAGATGGTGCCATCACCAGAACCCAAAGCGCTAAATGATCTGAGTGGTCCAAAAACAGATCTTCCCTGGGGCACATGCCAGCTTCTCCCATCATGCTTTTCTTTCAGTCTCCGCCATGTTGGAAAATGAGAGCATTCAGGGTCTATCTGGTGTGAAGCCAACGGGCTACCGGAAGCGCTCCTCCAGCATGGTAGACGGGGACAACTCCTATTGCCTGGAAGCTGTCATCCGCCAGATGAATTCCTTCCACACGGTCATGCGCGACCAGGGCCTGGACCCTGAGATCATCCTGCAGGTGTTCAAGCAGCTCTTCTACATGATCAATGCGGTGACTCTCAACAACCTGCTCCTACGGAAGGACGTCTGCTCTTGGAGCACGGGCATGCAGCTCAGGTAGGAGAGGGGGTGCCCGGCCCCGAGCCGCGTGGTTGGAGGGGCCTGCACTCCCCAGCTGGATTTGGAGCCTAAGACCTTTGTCTCTGACAGTGAAATCCAGACCTGACTGATGGTCCTTGTCACAGTTAGTGTGAGACACAATTCCATCGCCTTTTCGTTTGTTGGTGGAATTCTACACCAAGACAGTGACCTGGTAAACAAATTAGTTCAGAGCTTGAAAGACATTTCCTTACTCTAAAGATTGTAAAGACTGTGTGGGTAGGTCGGAGGGAAACATCGATGAGTTCAGAGACTCACGAAGGCTCACATAGAAATGTTTGTGAATGTTAAGTATCAGTTGCTTCAGTTCAATAGATTGAATGCCTCATTTCCCATCATCTTACCCAGACACTTCACGTACCTCATCTTTGCTTGATTTTAAACACCTGTTCATTCATGTATTCAGCAAAACGTTACTGAGCGCCAGGTGCTTTTCAAGCTTTTGCTCCACGTGAGCTCATGAGGGTGAAGAGAATGATCCCACTGTTTGCAGCTGCACGGCACCATGAACACACCAGGTGTGCTCATCCCACTGCGTTAGGAGCCCTGGCCTAACACAGCTCACTTTGACCTGTATCTAAGGTACAACATAAGCCAACTTGAAGAGTGGCTTCGGGGAAGGAACCTTCACCAGAGCGGAGCCGTCCAGACCATGGAACCCCTGATCCAAGCAGCCCAGCTCCTGCAGTTAAAGAAGAAAACCCCAGAGGATGCGGAGGCCATCTGCTCCCTGTGCACCTCACTCAGCACGCAGCAGGTATGGCCCCGGCACCCAGCAGGCCCGCCTTCCCACCCAAGTCCCTTCCCGCCGGCGGCTTATCTGTGTGTGGGGTGCACGCACAGCCTTCCTAGCCCTCTAATGACACAACAGAAGCTGTCACGGACAGAATGTTCCTGGGTGAACCGAAGACCGCCTTGGTCTGTGGAACAAGATGCCACCGTTCCCCCAGTAACTCTCTGGGCCCTCTTGCTCACAGAGAAAGATAAGGTAGTAAACCCACAAAACATTAAGCTGGGGTAAAAATGTATTTTTTGTTTTGTTTTGTTTTTAGAGAGAGCGCACACGCACGCGAGTATTTGCCCTCCTTTGGGGGGGAAAGGGCAGAGGCAGGGGGGTGGGAGTGGAGAGAACCTGAGGCAGGCTCCATGCCCAGGGCCAAGCCCATGTGGGGCTCGATCTCACAACCCTCAGATCATGACCTGAGCCGAAACCAAGAGTCGGACATTTAACTGACTAAGCCACCCAGGCACACCTGGTTGGTTTGTTTTTTAAGGTAAAAACATTTTTTAAACACAATGAATTCTGGAATGTCTCTAACTAGAAATTTTAAATTTTGTTCAGAAATGGGCAACATCATGCCTTTGGCATTAACAACTATACTTTCATTATGGCCATGTTTTCACTTAGAATCTATTGACATTGTTTTTTAAACAGGCATTAAGAACCTAGAGGCATTAGAATGTGCCTTTCCTCCCTGCCCTCCCCCAGCCAAATTGTATTTATACTGGGACTCGGTTGCAGAGATGTTACTACCAGTCTATCAAAAGATAAATCCTGTCCACACCCAGGAAGACTTGCCCTCCATCATGAGTGTGCCTATTTAGAAATGGGCCAACACAAAGTGGCCTCACAAAATGAGACCGGTACAAGGAAGTCAGACTTTTTTTTTAAGTTTTTATTTATTTGACAGCACAAGCAGGGGGAGGGGTAGAGGAAGAGGGAGAAGCAGACTCCCTGCAGAACAGGGAGCCTGATGCGATGAGGGGCTCCATCCCAGGACCCTGGGATCATGACCTGAGCCACCCAGGTGCCCCAAAATCAGACTTTCTAAGCTAAACCATGCACCTTCTTCTCCCTGTCCAGCACCTAAAGAACAAAATCCGAACTCAGTATTGTAAATATACCTTTCCTTACCTCCCCCACTAACTACTAAAAGATGAAATGCCAAACTCTTGAGAGAATTGGTTCTTTCTATAAATGTACTGGAAGTTTTCAAACTTTATTCCCCTTTTACATATATTTTGCTTTCCGAAGTTTACTTCTAGAATTCAACTGGCGTTTCTTGGCATTTGGGCAGGCTACTTCCACCAAACAATTGGTAGGCAGACAGGAGATTATCCTCTGTTCAATTAGGAAAAACCGTTCCTTTTATAAGTGATTTGGGGTGGGAGGAGGTAGGGAAGTATGGTCAAAAAACACTTTTAGGGGCGCCTGGGTAGCTCAGTTGGTTAAGCGTCTGCCTTCAGCTCGGGTCATGATCCCAGGGTCCTGGGATCGAGCCCTGCATCGGGCTCCTTGCTCGGCAGGGAGCCTGCTTCTCCCTCTCCCTCTGCCGGCTACTCTGCTTACTTGTGCTCTCTCTCTGTCGAATAAATAAAAAAATCTTTAAAAAAACAAACGAAAAACACTTATTATCTAAGGTAAGATCTCCAGTACTCTGTAAGAAACCTTTAAATTACTAGTAGATAAGAGGCTGAGGATTTCAGGATTTCAGTTTCCTAGAATCATTATCTTTTAAGCCAGGAGCCGATGGGGTGGGTAGGGATGTAGGAGACCCGAGTGCAGTTAAGAGGGCTCTAGCAGATGCAGCCTCTGGTCTGTAGTTTACTAATTTTAGGCTCCTCTCCTCGATTTCACTCCAGCTCCAAGTTATGGGTCCTGTGTAAACAAGAGTATACCCTTGCGCCAATGTCTTATATTCTTTGAAATCCAAAAGTTGTCTTATGTTCCTTTAGGTCTGTGCTAAGATTTTGTTTTTATTCCAACAGATTGTCAAAATTTTAAACCTTTATACTCCCCTGAATGAATTTGAAGAACGGGTAACCGTGGCCTTTATACGAACAATCCAGGTGAGTTTTAAAATATTAATCAATTTTATAAAGTCCTGGTCCAAAACTAATATTAATTTTATAAAGCCCTCATCTAAAACTAATAAAGGAAATCGAAGTTTAGAGTTTAACTTCTCTGTATTAACAAATCACTGGTTATATTCTAAGCCAAAAGACCTTACGTTCTAAGGCTTTCCCTTTAGGTAAATACTAACTATATCACCCATAAATAATTTATCTATATACACAAAAGCCTGAACTTTTATAATCTCTGCTCATAAGGAGTCTTGCTCTACAAAAATGTATCTATGAAATTCCAGAGCCTGTTTGGCACGAGCATAAAACTTTGTTCTAATAATATGACCCAATTTGGGGAAACTACTCCAAATGAGAGAAGACGGGGAAACAATGATGAAGTTCAAACTCTGGGCAGCCTCTGAATGAAACGCTATTTTCTTTAGAAATACAATAGCTGCCTTAGACATTATGAGGTATATAACTAGTGTTTAATATGCCCTATAAATGTCTTCAGCGTTCTTCAGGGTAATTAGGATCTTAAAAGATTTGGTTCAGATCCAGACACATACACATTCTGTATTTTAGCTCAGTGGTTTTCAAAAAAGGAAAATGCCACACAGCAAAAAGTGTTTACTTTGGTGGACAGACCAGATCGGTTGTCAAAAAATGACCGGTGCTTATAAAAAGTTATCATTCAATAACTCCAAAACAAACCACCTGAATGCATATGACCAAGAGGGAAATCAGCCTGTGTTTAGTATTTACATTGGACACCAGTTTCATAATCACTGTCTTACGTAAAAACTGGTGGAGAAATTCTATAACCTCTTTGCTGTTTTTGATACCTGCGTTTTGTTTTGTTTTGTAAAAATGATAAAAGTTCGGAAAATAAAATGTCAGTGTTGAATAATTAAAAAAAAAAATATATAATCTCTGCTCAGATTTTAAATGTAGTCTAAGTATTATTTGCCGCTAACGTCACTGAATTATAGCACCAAGGGGAATTAACAAAGTAAGCAGAATATCAACCGCACCCATGAACTAAGCTAAGAAATATTATTTTAAGAAAACAATTTGAGGGGTGCCTGGGTGTCTCAGTCTTTAAGCATCTGCCTTTGGCTTGGGTCATGGTCCCAGGGTCCTGGGATAGAGCCCCGCGTCGGGCTCCCTGCCCAGCGGGAAGCCTGCTTCTCCCTCTCCCCCTCCCCCTGCTTGTGTTCCCTCTCTCGTTGTGTCTCTGTCAAATAAATAAATAAAATCTTAAAAAAAAAAAATAAATTTGAGCTCTTCAATCTTGTCTCTGAGACTCATAATATTTGCCTTTAGGAATATGCTTGAAAGAAAACATATTAGGGAAATGATTATTTAAATCTGTCTTGTGATTATGGGATTTTTTTTTTTAAAGCTGAGGCCTAGGTGATTTGGGCTGAATGCCTAAAAAAAATTTTTTTTTTTTTTTTTTAGTAAAGTGATAGGAGTTTATTAAGTGAAGATAACAGAAAAAGCTCTCAAGAGTGAGAGGGGTCCCAACAGGGTTGCCAACAAGGGCCTTTAGGGCTGGTCTTTTATAGAAAGCTAACCAGGGAACTTAAATCCTTTTAACATCTCTATTGATAACACCTTCAACGGCTTACTTCCTTTTTAGGGTCTGGTTATTCTTTGTTGGTCACAGGTGATTATCATAAAGACACCCACCCCACGCGCCTAGGGCAGGGTGGTCTGATTTGTCCCCTTATCTCTGGTTTCCCCACACCTGCACATTTTGGGGATTTCTGTGAGCCTGATCACATAGCCCCCTATCCGTCTCTCCCTACCTAGCCCCACCTGTCCCTTACTCATTCCTCCCCCTGGAATGGTAACCCGAACTGCTATTAGGGAATGGAACAATGACCGCTCTGGCTGCTTCCTGCGGAAATGGTGTGGCGGGCTGTGTGGCAGTTAGAACCTATCCAGGGGTCGGTCCAGGGGCTTGCGGTATGGCTCCAGAGGGTCATGATGGCCAGCAAACGGTACAAGCATCAGCACATGCAAAAGGATAAACATAAAACAAGTTAGGCTCAAAATTATCCCATCTCTTAGATAAGATCCCCCAATTACCGATTTTGCCAAATAGATAGTGGATATCTTGGTCTTATTTAATTGATGACAAATGTCCGCTATTAATTGGGACACCTCGCAGGAGTTAACTGTAATGTTAACACATGTGAGGAAATTTTTCACACCCCAAATGATGTAGCGATAGTAGAATGCCTAAGTTTTATGTGTGACCGTAGCTGACAGAATCCGCACAATGAATCACATCAA